CACAGATAACATCATACTCAATGATAAAAAGCCAAAACCTTTCTCTTTAAGATCAGAAACAAGACAAGATTGTCTATTTTCACCACTTTTATGCAACATAGTATTAGAAGTCCTAGCCACAGCAATCAGACAAGAGAAAGAAATAAAAGGCATACAAATTGTAAAGGAAGAAGTTAAGTTGTCATTATTTAAAGATGATATGATACCATACCTAGAGAACTCTAAAGATTATACCCAGAAAAACCTATTAAAACTAATAAAAAAATTCAGTAAAATAGCAGGATACAAGATTAATATTCAAAAATGATTCATTTTTATACACAAATAATGAATGATCAGAAGTAGAAATTAAGAAAACAATCCCATTTATAATTGCATCAAATACAATAAAATACCTAGGAATAAATTTAACCAGGAAGGTAAAAGACCTATAGTCAGAAAATTATGAGATAATGAAGAAAGAAATGAAAGAAGATACAAATAAATGGAAGCATATACCATGCTTATGAACAGAAAGAGCTAACATTGTTAAAATGTCCATACTACCTAAAGCAAGCTACTGATTTAATGTAATCACTATAAAAATACCAATGACATTTTTCACTGAACTAGAACAAATAATCCTAAAATTTACATAGAACCACAAAAGACCCTCCATAGCCAAAACAATCTTGGGAAAGAAGAACATAGTTGGAAGTATCATGCTATCTAATTTCAAATTATACTACAGGTTACAGTAATCAACACAGCATGGTACAGGCACAAAAACAGACACAGAGCAATGGAACAAAATAGAAAGCCCAGAAATAAATCCACATCTATATTGTCAATTAATCTATGACAAAGAAATAAGAATATACAATGGGGTAAAGGCAGTCTCTTCAATAAATGGTGTTGAGAAAACTGGATAGAGATACATGCAAAAGAATGAAAATCATTTTCTTATAAGAATAAACTCAAAATGGATTGAAGACTTAAATGTAAGACTGAAATATAAAAATCCCAGAAGAAAACATAGAAAATAAACTCTTTGACATTACTCTTAGCAATATTTTTTTTTTGGATATGTCTCCTTGGGCAAGGGAAACAAAAGAAAAAATAAACAAATGGGACTACATAAAAATAAAACGTTTGTATACAGTAAAGGAAACCATCAACAAAAGAAAAAGACAAACTACTGGATGGGAGAAGATATTAGCTAATGATACATCTGAAAAGGGGTCAATATCCAAAAATTATAAGGAACTTATACAACCTCACACCAAAAAAACCACAAACAATCCAGTTAAAAAAATGGGCAGAGGACCTGAATAGACATTTCTCCAAAGAGGAAACACAGATGGCCAATACACAAAAGCAAAGATCCTCAATGTCACTAATTATCAAGGAAATGCAAATTAAAACCACAATGAGCTATCACCTCACACCTGTCAGAATGGCAATCATCAATAAATCAATAAACAACAAGCATTGGTGAGGATGTGAAGAAAAGGAAACCCCTGTGCACTGTTGGTGAGAATGCAGACTGGTGCAGCCACTGTGGAAAACAGTATGGAGGGTCTGTAAAAAATTAAAAATGGAACTTCCTTATGACCCTAATGTTTCAGCTTCAGGTACATAACACTAATTCAAAACACTAACTCAAAAGAATATATGCACCCCAATGTTCATTAAGCATTATTTATAACTAGAGGCCTGGTGCATGAAATTCAGCACTGGGGGAGGGGTGTCCCTCAGCCCAGCCTGCACCCTCTCCAATCTGGGACCCCTTGGGGGATGTCCGACTGCCAGTTTAGGCCCAATCCCACAGGGACATCCCTCTCACAATCCAGGACTGCTGGCTCCCAACCACTCACCTGCCTATCTGCCTGATTACCCCTAACTGCTTCTGCCTGCCAGCCTGATCACCCCCTAACCACTCCCCTACAAGCCTGATTGACGTCTAACTATTCCCCTGCCAGCCTGATTGCCCCCAACTGCCCTCCCCTGCCCACCCAGTCGCTCCCAACTGCCCTCCCCTGCTGGCCTGGTTGCCCCTAACTGCCCTCCCCTGCTGGCCTTGTTGCCCTTAACTGCCCTCCCCTGCTGGCCTGGTTGCCCACAACTGCCCTCCCATGCTGGCCATCTTGTGTGGCCATCTTAAGACCACATGGGAGTGGCCATCTTGTGTGAGGGCATGACAGTCAATTTACATATTACCTCTTTATTATATAGGATAGCCAAGATATGGAAGCAACCTAAGTGTCCATCAAGAGACAAATGGATAAAGAAGATGTGGTACATATATACATGGAATATTACTCAGACATAAAAAGAAATGAAATCCTGTCATTTGAGACAACATGAATGGGTCTAGAGGGTATTACTATACTAAGTGAAATAAGTCAGACAGCAAAAGACAAATACCATATGATTTCACTTTTATGTGAAATCTAAATAACAATATAAACAAACAAACAATACAGAAATAGACTAATAGATACAGAGAACAGACTATGTGTGGTGACAGATGGGTACGAGACTTATCAGGATGATCACTTTTTAAGGTATATAAATGTCTAATCACTATGTTGTACACCTGAAACTAATTCAATATTGTATGTAAACTGTACTTGGAAAACTAAAATATCAAAAAAATGTTTGTGGCTAGAAAAAGAATGGCTGACCTTCCCCCACTCCCCCCAAAGTTATGGCCTCAATTTCTTTCTTTCTTTTTTAATTCTCACCTGAGGATATGTTTCTTATTGATTTTGAGAGAGAGAAAGGGAGAGAGGGAAACATCTATGTGAGAGAGAATAGTGATCAGTTGTCTCCCATACTCGCACCAACTTGGGATTGAACCCAAAACCTGGGTATATGCCCTGACCAGGAACCAAACCCACAACCTTTTGGTGTATGAGACGATGATCTAACTAACTGAGCCACCTGACCAAGGCATATCCTCAACATCTTAGTTTGAAAATGAGATGGCTGTCTTAGACTAGTGATTTTCAAAAGGAAACCTTCTTACCTAGCAAAATTGTACCAGCACCTCCAATATACCAAACTGAAAGAACTACAGTGGCTCTGACTGACAGAGGGGACGAGGGCCCAGAACTGTGATGGTTATACCTTTCCATGCCCTGCCTCTGTCCCTAGGAGTGTCACTCTGCTTCTAGGGTTCCACCAGAGAAAGTTTGAAAACCACTGTATCAGGTAAGCACTAAAGTCTCTGGTGCTTAACTTCAATGAGGAAGATAAATCACTGGTGCTGTCAAAGAAAAGTCATGTCTGAAATCCCAAAGTTCAAATGAGATCCACTTCCAGATGACCCATACCATTTGTTTCCATTATTGCTTGGTGTAGAGCCATTCACTACATCTCAACATGTACATTTTCTCTATTATAACTGTTTTTAGGCTCAAAGATTTTAAGAAATAATTTGTATTAAGCAAATTTCTGAGAAACCCAAGAATCTGACTTCCATTCTTGTTCTTTATTTTGGGGGAAATGAGAAGGATGGGGATTAAGAGTAGAGAAAGGAGCCCTGCCCAGTGAGGCTCAGTTGGTTGGGCATTATCCGATGCACCAAAAGGTTTCTGGTTCAATTCCTGGCTGAAGTACAATACCCAGGTTGCAGAATTGAGCCCCAGTAGGGGTGTGCAGGAGGCAGTCAATTGATGTCTCCCTCTCATATTGATGTTTCTATCTCTCTCTCTCCCTTTCCTTCTCTCTTAGAAAAAAAAAAGAAAGAAGAAAGAACTAAAAGAGTAGAGAAAGAAGCGGCACAGCCAGTCCAAACTATAAGAGCAACAGATTTTGGTGGGAGGAATCATAGATATTAGGGCCAAAAGGATGAAGAAATGGACAACTCCAGGATTCTGATTGCACAATGATATAGCATCCATTCAGGCATCCAACATGGGTTGAGCTCTAGTTCTGTGGGGCCCCCTGTAAGCACTTTGTTACTATGACAAAGATGCAGTTTCAGTTCCCAGGAGGCACAGAGTGCATGCAGCACAGATCCACGCTGGGAACTATGTCCTTTACAGCAGTGTGTCAGTGTGGTAAATAAGTAAGGGGTCCACGGAAGGTCTAATGGGCTTGAATAGAGGTTGAATGTAAAGCTTCGTGAGGACAGGGACATTGTTTCATCTACCTGCTGCTCTAATTCCCAGATCCTAGGAGAGTGGCTGGCAGTGTTTTGAACAAATAAATGAACAATGCATGAATTCTGCTGGTGGAAGGAAACGGGACACCCTACCTGATTGCTTTGTAAATGAATCAGCAAGGCCCTATTAAAAGAAGTAAGTGGCTTGCCCACTCTGCCATTGGCCTTGAAAAGTTTGCATTTAAGTGGTAAAGGAAGAGCATGCAGATGGTCAGGAAGTTAAAAGGGACATATCACAAGTATAAGTCAAGAGGTAGTGTCTCAGAGATAATCTAGAATTCAAACAAGAGTGCTGTTGCTTGTGGGCCCACCTAGGGTGACTTTGGGGTGAACCTGGGGCCTTCACATTGTGGGTCAACCTCCCCTCCTGTGAAGGGTTGTGACAGAGGCCTCAAAACACTGTGTGGTGTCACTTTGGGCTGGGCACAGCTGGGCCAGTTGGAGCTAGAAAATGCAGGGGTTTGGGGAGGCGGTGGTGAGAATGGGGGAACAGCACAATTGTAACTCAGTTAAACACCCATTTCTTAGGGACACCTTCCTTGACATTGTACTCTGTCCTCCTCCTCTAATCCTGTCCTACTCACTTATAGCTCTTATTGAAATCATAATGATATAATTATTGGTACAATCTCTATTTTTTATGTCCCATAGGAGCAGGGACTGTATCTGTCTTGGTCACTTTAGAGTCCCCAGTAGCTAGCTTGGTACTGGCCACTTGGGTAAACAAATGTGTGAATCGGTTTGTTCCTGGAGAAGGTTTTGAAAGAGCAAAGGAACAGGCAGGAGATGGGCAGAGAAGAGAGAAAAGCAAGAGGCCCGCATAGTGCTCCCAGGAAGGTCACCAGCTCACCTCCACGGTGCTCAGCCACTGCCGGACCGACAGGAAGGACTGTTTGGCTGTGAGGTCATACATGACGATGACACCATCGGCCTTTCTGAAGAACTGCTGGGTGATGCAACGATACCTGCCATTGAAGGGCCACAGGTCAAGGGAGCACAGCCCTCCCTTGCAACCCAAACCTTCGGCCCCACTGGGGGAATGGAGGAGGCAGTGTTACATCAGGATGACTCCTCACCTCTCCTGCCCGGCCGTGTCCCACAGCTGCAGGGCCACCTGAGAGTCACCCACATGTACCATCTTCACACGGTAATCGATGCCTGCAAGGTGGAACAGGCCTGTTACTTCCAAATAAGAACATGATGCCCCAACATGTCTGGAATCACATCAGGTCAAGGATGACAGCTCCTGTGTAGCTCCTGGGAGGCGATGTGGGGAAATGGGCAGAGCACTGGACAGGGAGGTGTGGGGCCTGATTCTGTCTCTGCTACTTATTATCAAATCACTTAACCACTCTGAACTGCAGGCTCCTCCCTGTACTATAATCCATACCCTCCTTAGGGATACTACAATCAGGTTCAAATGTAAAAGCAATATGCCAATGCAAAGACATTGTTATATTCATGAATTTACTCTCTCACTGCAAAGATGGAGGAGGAGGAAAGACTGTCCTTAAATTTCTTCCTCCCTTTCCCCTTCCTTCCTTCCCTCCCTTCTTCCTTCCTTCCTCCCTTCCTTTTTCCTTCCCTCCCTCCCTTCCTTTCTCCCTAAAATCATTTTCAAAGTTCCCCTAATGAAGTTCAAATATTCCTGGGTATGGATCCTACTTTCAGACTTCCATCAGCCACTGCAAATGTGTGTGACAGAGCCAGAGGAGGAACAGGGGGAGCAGGAGGACGGGAAGGGGTGGCAGGTGGAGGGAGGGCTACAAGAGAAGAGGATGACGGAGGGAATCAAAGGCAGCATTCACCCTTGAGGTGGCATCAGAGCTCCTAATCCCAGCCACTGGGCCACTCACAATGGTCTCTCTGACGCTACAATCCCACTTGAAGTCATGGACCACAGAGAGAGGGAACAAGCTCAGGTACACACATTCTGAGCCCACAGCAGCCCCCAGAAGTTCTTTGATAACAGACATTCCTCTCTTGCCATCATTTAAGAATGTTCACAAATGCTTAATGAGGTTCAAAAAGTCTTTCCCTCTTAAGGTAGCAAATCTTGGAAACAGAGGGCATCCTATACCACCTCCAAAAGGGCCCAGCTTCTAAGGTCCTCACCCTGGAAGGCTAAGGGAGGACAGCAATAGCAGCTTGCTTGGAAAAGATAGAAGTGACAAAACAAGACAACAAAGAGGCAGTCAATGGAAAAGGTCATCCCAGCCACTGTCTCCAGGCAAAGGCCAGTGCATTAAGGGCCCATGAATGGAGGAGAGGAGGCAGAGTCATCACCCCTAGAATGACTCTAGAGCCCTGTGCTTCACAGATGAGGGCAGAAGGAGCAGTACATTTTCTAGGTAGAGAAAAGAGTGATTTCACCCATTGGTAGAATGCTTGATATTTCTAACTTTCATATGCTATCTCTCCATCATCACAGTGCTCCCCCCGTGACACATACTCATGCACATACATACACATGCATACAGATATGTATATGCACACCACCCCACCCACCACACCAATGAGAGATAAAGAAACAAGAATCCAGAGATGGCATGCCTCGCCCAGGCTCATCAGTTGCAGTGTGTTGCAAACCCAGCTCTGAGGCTCATTCTTCTTTTTTCACCAGTATCCTGGGCACAGAAACACCTGGCAGCTTCATTTCACCTGGAAAGTCCAGGACTAAGTGATTCCATCCAAATGGATTACAACTGGCTGGGAGCTGAATCCAGGTGAGCTTTCTTCTTAGCCAAAAGTGGAGGTGTTTCCCCAGCGTATACTCTGGGAGACTGAAGGGGCTGCCTATTTTCTGGCAACAACTCAGGAGAATGCCAGCACTGTCAACACACTTTCAGGGTCTGATCTGAAACCAGCCAGCCCAAGGTGGGAAGCCCAAGGACAGAGCCTTCTTCTTGGTGGAAAGGCTTGAAGGCAGAGGGGCAGACAGGTCTCAGCTCTTTATGATTGAGCGCTACCTCATTGGCTGATTGCTTTGCTGGAGGACAGGATGCTTATCTTGCAGAGAGTGAGGTGGACCAAGGAGTGCTGGGAAAAAACAGGTGCTGTGCTGTGGTGAGCTTGGTGAGAGTCCCTGCCAGGTACTGGTGCTTCTTTCTGCAGCCTCAGACAGGCAGGCCCAGGGAGCAGATAAGTCCATGGGAGGGAGAGGCGAGGGAAGGTAGAGACACAAGGAGTCAATTCCAATAGAAGAGGCAACACAAGAACATGGGACCTGAGGGCCTGAACTACACTGACTTCTAAGACCATCACCAGTTCTAACACCCCAGGAGCCAGGCGACCATGTTGTGTTCCTGTCTTAGTCCTGCCTTTGACCAGCTATGTGATCTTGATGACATTGCTTCATCTCATTTTGGGGGAGTTTCACTGTCCTCATCTGTAAATTGAGGTGTGATGGAGGGTGTGGAGGGGTAAGTTGGTGCTCAGGATCTGTTCAGCTGTAACATTCAATGAACACATGGAGGTGACCTCCAACTTGCAACCTAACCGGTTCCTGAATGATGGCTGGAAATCCGGAGCCTCTGTGACCGTGAATTGTGTTATGTTGTGGGATGGTAATGAGTTAGAGCTGGTTGATGGACTCTGGAAAGGGTGACAAGACAGGACCAAGCTGTCATTTAGAGCAAGACGGATGTGGGAGTGGGAGTGTCATGGGGACAACTAGGGATTTCTCTGTAGAGATGGGGAGGGGGATAGAAACCCAACTGGTGGCCAAGAAAGAGCAGAGTGCATTCTGTTGGGAAAAGCAGGGGCGGTGACTCAATGTGGGGCAGTGGAAAAACACTGGACTCGGAGTCCTGGGTTCTAGGGAGCTTTTGCCTTTAATAATTAGTCTTCTCATTTACAAAATGAGCTCTGATGTTCTAAAAGACCATCCTTTGACACCCACAAGGCCCAAACACCTGCTTGTGAAGGAATCATGTGGTGCTAAGGTGGTGCAGGCAGGTGCTCAAGTCACACTGTTGTACTGTAGAACTTACATTATGCACAAGCCAGGAGTTGAGTACCAGTCATGGTCCCTTGAGGCAGTGGGAAGCCAGGAAGTCCCCTTTGATGATGGAGGTGAGTTTTAAGCGGCTGCTAAGTCCCTGTTTGTACTGTGTTCATGGTTCAGGGGCTGCTGCCCTGGACAGGTGGTTGGCTAGAGCTTCAATCTAGGGTTGGACCGCTTTGGCCCTCCAGGGCCAGGACTCTGTGGCTCTTCTGTCCTTTTACAGAAGCATTTGTCAGGTGGCTCCTATGACTGTGCCTACTGACAGGTGCACCAGAGCAAGGCCTGCTGTGTAGCTGGAACACTAATTTGAGCCGCAGTTCCTGCACCTAACTTGTAGGTGTTTCCATAATTGGCCCCCTGGGAGGTGCAAATTAGTCTGGTTTTCTCTTTTTAGAGACTTCCATCTTAGGGACACAACTTGGAAATGTAAATGGATCCTGATTCCCTGATTTCAATAGGAGAGGCACCTAAACGCTTGGAATCTGTCCTCCTGCCTCTCATGGTCTGTGCTTGAGCCATGGCTTGTCGGGGCCCACCCCACTGAATGATCTCCCAGGAATTCCAGTCCACCTCCTCAGCCATTGCTTCCTGTGTCACCATGCTCAGTGCACCTGGCTCACTCCCAGCCACTTTTCTCCAGGGCAGACAAGGCCAGACTCTTCTGGGATGAGTTCACGGGCTCTGCTCTTCTTCCCTCCAGGGTCCTAATTCTTCATCTCGAGGTGCTCTCAGTTTTGGGGTGAAATGGAGCAGAAGGGAGGGACAGGAGGATATTCCAGATGTGGAAACACCATAGGAACAGGCCCAGCAGTAAGAATGGCACCCTGAAGCAGGTGGGAGGAGACCCATCTGTAGAGGAAAGTTGGAAGAAGGGCCAGTTCAGGATGAGCGGGAGAACATGGAGTCTCCCCAGTCAGGACTCTGGGGCAGGAAAAGTTTGTCTTGTGGGGCCAGCTGTCAGACACCCAAAGGTAAAAGATGGCCTGGACAGAGGCTCAGGCCTGGAAGCAGTATTGTGTGACCCAGTTCATTTCCCCAATTTTTCAGATGAGAAAAACTGAAGCCCAAAGAGGGAACGTGTCCCCCTGAAGTCACATAACTGGTTAGTGGCAGAGCAGAGACAAAGAGCCAGGACTTCTAATGCCCCACTGAACCTCAGCAGCCTCCCCTGCCTGCATCCATCAGTACACTTCCCGTGGCAGGGAAGTGTCCTCAAAACCCATGGGGTGCTGAGTGCACACAACTCAAAGTTACGAGGGACACTGTGGAATGGAACAGAAGGGGTGTGGGGGCAGAGGGGAGGCCACCATCTGCACCAACCAGCTGATGGGAATGTGAACAAGCCTCTTCACCTCTCTGGGCCTCAGTTTCCTGATCTGTCCATTGGGCTGATAACAACACTTGCCTCCCAGGGTTGTATGAAGGTAGAGTGAAATGATGAATATAAAAGCCCATGGTAAATATTCAGATATATCCATATATTTTCAAATATAGTTGACTTATCAGTGTGGTTAAATGGCATACAGTAGGCACTCAGTGGACTTATTTTTTGTTTGGGTGATTCAACTTGGTAAAAGCTAAAAAGGTCAAGATGCCTGTGGTCTCACCACATATTCCAATGCAATGAGCAACTTTTGGAGAAGGGAGAAAGTCCTCCATCTAAATAAAATATAACACTGGAGTGGGAGCACATTAAGCCATATCATCCACTAATAACTGCGCCTAATGGGTTTCTCCCGTGAACTCCAGCTGCAACCCAGCAGGCCCAGGAGGCAGGACAGGTAATGTCTTGTCATCTGCGTAAAGGAGCCATCTAGAGCTCTGCCCTCCATCCCTCCTGTTCTCTCTCTCTCTCTCTCTCTCTCTCTCTCTCTCTCTCTCTCTCACACACACACACACACACACACACACACACACACACACACTGAGAGGGGCAGGGCACGGAAGCAATTGGCTCATGGAGGGGGTTGGAGTTGTGGTGACAGGGGTGGGGGAGGGGGGAGGGAGTAAGCCCCAGCAGGAACATGAAGATTCAGGGCCCTGCTGAAAACAATAGGAGAGAAAGGCTCAGAGGGGTAAAAGGGCCGAAGTCCATCTTTGGCAACTTCAGTTCTACTCAAGCTGGACATGGGAAGCTTTCGGTGATCTTGTCCCACTGGGAGTGAGCTTAGCAGCTAGCCCTCTGCAGGAATGGACTGCACCTGTCCCTCAGCCTCACTGTGGAGCAAGCAGACCCGGCCTCCCCTCCCTGAGGGCCCACAGCTGCTCCCATTGAGCTCCAAGTGCCTCCCTCGGCCCCCTTCTCACAACCTCCCCTTCCCAGAGGTGGCGGGACCCAGTTTAGGGGCGAGAACTTACCCACAGTGGCTGTCATGCCCGGGGAGAACCGGTCATCACAGAATCTCCTCAGGAAGGATGTCTTCCCTACGGCGGAGTTGCCCACAAACACAATCTTGAAGAGCCGGTCTGGGGTGGAGAGAGAGCCTTCCTCCTGTGGACGGCAGACAGTGTGGCCGCAAGCCCTGCTTCTGCCACCACCTGCCCTTCTCCCATCCCTACGGTGTGCAGGGTACAGTGGGGACCTGGCCTCCACACTGGCACCAGGAGACCACCCAGCCGCAGATGCAGGTAGCTTTGGGCTCAGGGCATCAGCAAGGGAAAGAGAGACATTCATTCATCCAGCACCTGTTGTCTGCCTACTATGATGCAGGGATGAGGAGGAGGCCTGGCTTGTGGTGGAAAGAAGGGGACAGGAGTGTAAACAGACAATCTCAGCACAATGTTCCAAGTGCTCGGGCAGCAGGGAAGAGAGCCAGGATCCACCCCGCAGACGCCTTGAGCTGGGGTTAAGGCAGAGGCAGGGGTGGTGAAAGGGGGCATAGGAGATATGTTTGCAGGGAGGAGGGGAGATAGAAAAAAGACATCTTTGTCACAGGGGCAGAGACAGCCCAGGCTGGGGTAGGGCTCTTGTTTCTGCCCTTTCATTGAAAGCCTAGACCAGCGATGGTGAACCTATGACACACGTGTCAGAGGTGACACGCGAACTCATTTTTTTGGTTGATTTTTCTTTGTTAAATGGCATTTAAATATATAAAATAAATATCAAAAATATAAGTCTTTGTTTTACTATGGTTGCAAATATCAAAAAATTTCTATATGCGACACGGCACCAGAGTTAAGTTAGGGTTTTTCAAAATGCTGACACGCCGAGCTCAAAAGGTTCGCCATCACTGGCCTAGACTGACGGGGATACTCTTGCCTCCCTGCCCTTTGCTCTTCTGTCCCATCTCATCAGCTTCCATCCAGGATCCCCATTTGCCCTGGGAACAAAGGCAAGACAGTCTCCACCTCGTAGAAGGGGAAATGCTAACACCAGGCCACTGGCAGCGTGTTCAAATCCCCCAGCACTGCTGCTCCTCCTGCCCTGCCCAGCAGCAGGAGGGTTGGGGCTGAGCCCTCTGCCCATTCATCTGGGATGCCGAAGCCCAGTGGGGAATGGACTTGCTTAGACACTGAGGGAATGAGAGGCAGAGTAAGGACCTGCCGCCCGCACAGGGTCATTGCCCTCTACTGAGCCCTCATTCCTTTGGGAGAGCTGTTTGCTCGCTCCACCCAATCCTGCCTTCAAACCCAGCCCAGCACTGCTGGTTCAAGTGAGGAAACTCTTTGGAATCTATTTAGAAGTGGATTTGGGGGAATTAGCTCCTCTCATCGAGCAAATACTATAATGGAGTGGCAGCAGATCTTAGCAGCACTTGAGTATCAGAGAAAAGCCACTAACAGCCTTTTGGGGAGAAATCAATTCCATGCAGCACTTCAGTAGGAATTCAAGGTCAATTTCAGGAATTTAAACTTAAAGAAAAAAATGCTCCACACTCAAAAACTATGCCCCCTGCCCATTTTCTTTACTCTTGCAATGCCAAGGGTATGGGCTCTCTGCCAGTCTCTGCTCAGCCTCTGTCTCCCTGTAATTTTTTGAGACGAAAGCTCAGAGCAGCATCTGTGTCCTCAGGCCCAGGTGTGGGGAGACATGAGAAGCCCAGGGCAGGAGGAGCAGGTCCCGCTGCAGAGGCTGTGCCTGACGTTAGCCCTGTGCCCACCCCCACCATGGGACAGAACACTATTTTTTTTCAGGCCAAAGAAGATAAACACACTTATTGATGGTTCAGCTGCGGCAGGACACACCTCCCAGGTGCAGCAAACTCCTACCCAGTGTACATGCACTTAACCCGTGTCCCTTCTGGGGCTAATCCACAGTGAGACAACCGGACTGGGGCAAGAGAATGGAGAAAGGTCTGCTAATCTCCTTCCCACCACTTTAAAAATAAAACTAATATGTGCATTTTTTTTTTTTTTAGAATTAGGAAATACAGAAAAGTAGGGAGGAAAATAATTATAATCTACCCTACTGCCCTGCAGTGGTCACCACTCATGTTCAGATGCATTTCTTCCAGGCTTTTTTTTCTATATAGATGAATGAACATATGTTTTATTGAGAATGACTTGAGATATTATAATTTTATCATTTTCATATATTATTAAATTATAAATATTTCTCTGGTTCACTATTTTTTAAATGTTATTTTTAACAGCAGTGTAATATTCTACTGAATTAATATGCTATAGTTTATGTCCTATTAGATTTTCAATTGTTTGCTATTATCTATAATAATAAAAGCATAATATGTTAATTAGACCAGACATCATTCCAGACGACCTTCCGGATGAAGCCGGGGGTTTGAGGGAAGCCTGGGTCCCGGGTGCTGGAGGGAAGCCGGAGCCAGTAGAAGGGGGAAGGAAGGCCAACTCTTGCACGAATTTCATGCATTGGGCCTCTAGTACACTTATATTCTTGCATTAAATCTTTGTCTGACTTTGGTTATTTCCTGAGAAAAGATTGCTAGAAGGAGAAGTGCTGGTTCAAAGGATGTGGTATTTATAAGTTCATGATTCCTGCTATCAATCTACTGTCCTGAAAGGTTGCACAGTTTCTGGCTCAGCAGCCTGGCTTGGAGGGCCTGCCTCATGCCACCTTCCGAGGAGCAGAGCCTCTGCTGAGGCTGCTGTGGCTGCTGGTGGATCATATTTCCTCGTTGCCGCAGTTTCTGTCCCCAGCTGGAAGGCAGCCCAGCCTGGTTGAGCCTCAATGTGTGAGAGCAGAGGGAGAAGGCTGGGCCAGGCCGCACTCCTTTGGACTTTACTTCCCAGTCTTCCAGAAGGAAGAACACATCTCCGACGCCTCATTAGATGACTGCAAGGATCAAATGCCATAGCAGACACAATGCTTACCCTTTTCCCTCTACCGCTGGCCTCTTGACATTTCTTTCACATTTGGGGGAAAAGCATGGGGTACTGAAAACCCCATCTGTGCCTGATGCCTGCATGTATAGAGCTGACAGGGTTGTGGAAGGACAGGTAGGGGGAGGGGCCCCACTCACCAGTGGGTGCCACCAATTCTTCACCCTCCCTGGGGCCTGGGCCTCCACCATTCCACCCTTCAGAGGAGTGACACATGATGAATCTTAATCCAGACCCAAGGTGATAACTGGCACCACATGTCCCTGCACAGTGGCCAGAGAAGTCTTCCTGTCACACATGCTAATACAGCCATGGAAATGCTCCAGGTGGCAAGGGCTAATTCTAAAGGGCTGGCCTAGTGTGCAGGTGAGCCTCTTTCACACTGCCGGGACATTTCTAAAGCTGCTTTTCAGGGTCAAGTGGAGGGGTCAGGGCCCAAGGAAGGCTCCTAGGCTTAGATCACAAACAAGGTGTGGAACATCATCACTATGAGCCAGAGGAAGATGGATCATATGGCCTCCTTCTCCCCACAGAGTTTAGAGGAAGACCTGGTGGGGATTCAGGTGGGACATGGGGTTGGTGCCTTACGCTGAATCAGAAAAGAGCATAGGGTAGGGAGTGGGACAAACATCAGAGTTTATAAGGAGAATTTGCCAGGACCCCTGAGTCTCCCCCAAGACACTCAGCTAAGCAGGGAAAGGTAGTATTTGAAGGACACAAATATGTTGAATCATGAGACCAGTCACATATGATTTTCTAAGCTGCCTTTGGGACATGGCATAGGAGTGACCTCTAAAATCAAGGTGCGATATGCCCTTACCTTAGACAGAGCTTCTTTCCCAACAGGCTGCCCTCGGGGAGATGTGGGCATGAGTTCCCCCTGAGAAGGTTGGGCCTGCTGGCTTTGTCCTTCCACCCCCTGGTTGGAGACCTCCTCCTCTTCTGGGCATTTGCTCAGCGGCCGCTCAAAGCTGCCATCCAGGAGCTGGGGCAGGGGGTCTTCTTCAATGGAGATGATTCTACGGAGTGCCCGGGGGCATGGACCCTCAGCCCCTTGCTCCCTGGTTCCTGGCTCCTCTTCTGGAAGGGGATACCCACTCAGGCCCAGGGAGCTTCTCCTCCTCAGCATGCCAAACACATCCTCCTCCTCCTCTGACTGGCTGTTTGGGGTGGAGAAGAAGGAAGAGGGGGAAGAAAATTGTAAAGTGTATCCGTATGGAAGCCATAGCGATTTTCTGACAGATGACAAAAGAGCACCACATCTTGGGGGCACAGAGCTCTGGAAAAGGGAAAACCAGACCCAGCATTGTTTAGTTCATTCACTCAACACACTTATACAAGAGCCTGATGGTGAAGGTGATGGAGGTGATGGTGAAGGTGATGATGATGAAGGTGATGATGGTGATGACAGTGAAGGTAATAATGATGATCTATCAGGTATAAAGCTAATGTCACAGTTATGAACAAGTGGACACATCCCCTGTCCTTGAGGAATGCTCACCTTAGTGGAAGGGCTAGAGCAATAATGACACAACTAAACACATTTTTACAAGTTGTGAGAAATGCTATGATAGAGAAGAAAAGGGTGTGAAGAAAGGAGCATAAATAAAGCATCCTGGGTTAACAATCAGACAGCCTCAACTCTGTTCCCAAGGCCAGCCCTAACTAACTGTGTGTCCCCACTAGTCAGATGTCTCCTGGCTCAGCGGCAGCTGCCCACTAGAGCACGGGCTTTGGGTCGAAGGAAGCCAGGGTATCTCGACCTGCCTCTCCCTCCTTTTCCTTTCTCTTTCAGTGACCCTGCACGTCAGTCAGGGGGAAGTGGCCCTAGAGCCCGTTTGCTCACCACTGTATACATACCAGCACACAGCGCAGTACCTGCACATTGCAGGCACTCGATAATAGACATTAATGGCAGGGCTCATGTCTAATTTATCTTTGGAATCTTCACAGAACTCAAAAAACTGTCTGCTACAGAGGAGGGAATTGGTAAATGCTTATTGACTGAATCAATCAATGAATAGATTCTGTTCTGAGGAACCAACAGGCCAACTATTATTGCACAAACTTAGCTCCAAAATTGTGTCTCACTGTTCAGATACTTAGAAATTCACAATGATCAGCTCCAAAGACTCGACTCATCAGCTGACTGACAGCCCAGAGCCACCTCCCTTTGCCCACCTGGTTTTGCATGTTTGCTGTCCTCAGTGTCTCCTAGATGAGCAAGTTCGCACACTTTGTCCCCAGATCTAATACTAAGGGATCCAGCTGCCTCTACCTCTCTCTGGCCATCAATGTGGATGGAGCACATGCCAACAAGAAGAAGGGGATTGGCTGGTCTCTGAATAAACAACAAACTCCTCCTTTGGGGATGCAATTATGTGTTGTCCAACAGGAACAAAACATGTCATCTTTGAGTTAATTAAATATGAATCATTGAAAGGAATCAATCAAGAACAGGCCCTATTCTTGTCTGTGAAGGAGTTCAACTATTAGAGATTCCATAGGGCACTTTAATTGCCCTTTAGAGCCCAAATAGTCATGTGCCTGAAAAACCAAGTGTATCCATTCTGTTCAACTGACAACTGGGCATCGTCAGGCCACACCCTCCATCTCTGTCCCTGACCACTCTTGTTCTCTCTCCTCTGCTGATCTATAGCACTGTTTCAGTCCCTCTCTGCAGGCACACACTGAACAGGACGGGAGGGACAGAAAAGACAATGGTCTGTCCTAGGGGCTCGCTCTGCACCAGACTCCTCCTTGGATGTCAGAACAGGAAGGGATATGTCCTCCAAGTTTCAAGGGGAGTGAGCACAGCTGACCCCAGGCTCCCCCACCAGTGCCACTTCCCAAGGGCCAGTCTGCACTCAGCATAGCACAGGCTTGGGGCCTGCTCCCAAGAAGTACAAGACCAGCGAACAGATAACGAGTGAACAAATAGAGGACAACTTACCTTCTAAGGATCCCTCTGCCGTCCATATATTTGCCTATCACAGAGCCAGATCTCTGTTTCCAGCTTGCCTTGGCAGCAGCTGTGTTTGCTTTGGCTGCCTTATCTTTCTGCAGAAACACAAAAAGCCCTCAGATCCATGCCTGCCAGTTTGTCCCAATGTTTGAGCAAAAAGGGCTCAACTTTCCCACCTCCTAGGTCAGGCTTTAGACAAAACTCTGAATAAGCAAGTGATGTTCTGCTCTCCCTGCTGGCATTTTCACCAGAATTCCTCCACTTCCTGTCTAATAACCTAATCAAATGAGCCAACACACAGTTTAGAGCCTGGGGTCCATGATATTGTCCTTCACAGGACTATTGATAATTTGCAAGAGCACAAGTGAGAGGAGCTAGATGTGGAAAGCATAGGAAGAATGCTTATGGACAGAAAAGACTCTGGCTCTTTAAATCACACTCTGTGTGTGGCTCCAGCTCCAGGTATTCCCAAAGCCTCAGACATGAGAAAGAGACCAGCCCAGAGGATCAGTTCACCCAGCCCCCACCCACAACTACTAAGCTAGCATAGGGTATTTCAAACCTTTTGTGGGTGGGGGCTGGGTGTGGATAAATGGCTCACACATCTGTAAGGAAGAGCCTGGGTGTGGTGGGGGCTTGCACCCTCTTTGCCAATGTTCCCTAACAGTCCCTAAAGGAATCTCTCATTAACCAGCCATCCCCATGATTCCTGATGATCCTTAAGGGGGGGAGGGGGGGAGTTGGCAGGACTCCCAGGGCCTCTGCAAATATGACTATAATGATTCCAAGTTAATCTTTAATTATTACCCAGAATTAACATGATTAAAAAAAAGAATTAACATGATTTTATCCCTCTTTCTTAAGCCCATTCCCTTTTCAAAGCAAAATGAGTTTGGCAGGTGAGGGAAAGCAAGGTCAAGGGATTAGGATGACATTCGGTTGGAAGTTTTAAAATAAATGCAGTTACTTCTAAAATAATAACCATTATCATCATCAAACACACGTGTAGGCTGAAGCCTTGCTCTGGTAGGACTCAGGTGGCGCAGAGGTGTTTGCTGCCAGTCAGTGATAGAAAGGAAACGGTGGAACAAGGTCCCTCCAGGATTCGCAGTTTAAACCGGATGCACTTCATTCAGAGCAAACCAGCTGCCCCTTGCTGCCTGCATTTAGGCCACTGTTCAGTCAAGGGTCCAGTGGGAGACCTCCTCTTGCCAAAAGTTTTTCTCAAAAATCCCTACAATTTTGGGGGGAAAAAAATAAAGAAGAGGGATTCCCTTTCCTGATGAGGTAGGCAGGGTCATGGTCCAAGGAGGCAAATGACTTGTCCAAGGACACACATGAACTTCATGGTGTGATCATTCTAATAATTAAAATCTCATATCAATCAGTCCTGCCACCATTTTTCTTCCCTTGAGAGCATCCAACAGCTGCTAAGAGGGAAGAAAGTAGGGGAATGTGGGGTCCTAGATTTTGTTTAATGCAGCCCAAAGGGAATATTTTAAATAAATATAGAATTTTGTGTTATTTGGGAAAATATGTAAGTATTGTGCTCAGGTCTGGAGAAGCAGGGGCCCCCACAGGGTAAAAATATTGCTCATAAAATCTACTATGTAAATTGTAAAGTATACATTTTGAATTTTGAATTAAAATGCAAATTTTTCATCAAGAGATAAAAATTTTAATGAAGAAAAACGCTGCGAGCATTGTGATGTAAAAGTGATCATGACAGCCCTACCTGGTTTGACTCAGTGGATAGAGCATCGGCCTGCAGACTGAAAGGTCCCAGGTTCGATTCCGGTCAAGGGCATGTACCTTGGTTGCGGGCACATCCCCAGTAGGGGGTGTGCAAGAGGCAGCTGATCGATGTTTCTCTCTCATTGATGTTTCTAACTCTCTATCCCTCTCCCTTCCTCTCTGTAAAAAATCAATAAAATATATTTTAAAAAAATAAAATAAAAGTGATCATGACATTTCAACTGCGACATCTCAGGACAGAACTACCATTTCTGCATCCAAGAAATGCGTGACCCTCCCAATTATTTGCCTTGTTATGCCAAGAGGGAAGTGTGTGACTTCATGGGAAATTAACACACTGTTACCCAGGAGATCCCCTGCATTTTTATTATTTTCTAAAAAGCATATGCCATGGTCCTGCCACACAGAAAGGAGCAAGCAGACCCCAAACCTCAGGACTTTGCCGGCCAGTCCCGGCTCAGGCTCTGGCTGCCACTGGACCACAGTCCTTGTCTTTCCCCAGAGGAGGGAGCACCGGGCACTTACCTGAAAACATATGTCCCTTTCATCCCGGAGGTGCTTGTTCCTTTCCCTGTGATGGAAAAGGGGAATCTGTTCAAACATGGAGTTTGTGGTCCACTGAGCCAATAGCAGCAGTTGCCAGCGGGAGGTACAGAGGAAGGCGTGCTGTGGAAGGCCTGGCGCGGGTGCAACCTCTTTCCTTAGGGGTTGTGGTTAATGGCAGAGGGTAGTCTGTGTAAATCAGCTCAGAGGAAGGGGATAGACAGAATGGCCTCCTGGCACCCATGCCCTTCAGATCATGCACGGGTCTATGCCCTCACCAGGGAGCCTCCCCCCGAGGGTGCCCAGGAGTCACTCTGGGCCTGTGAGTCACTCTGGGGCCTTGTGCCCTCTGTGAACCATTCATTCCTGCCTACATCCTCCCAACAAGAGTCTCCTGGACACCCACTATGTGCCAGGCACCGTTCTGCCTATGAAGGTTACACCAATGAAAAAAGCAAGACGTTCCTGCCCTCAGAGAATTTGTATTTTAGTGCAGGCATAACTGCTTCTGAGAAAAAGCAGGAAAGTGGAATAAAGTGTGCCAGGGGTAGAGTGGTGTTTCAATAGGGTGGTGAGGTGGGGGGGGGGGACTTGCTGAAAAGGCAACATCTGAGCGGAGATTCAGAGGAGAGTGGAGCACTATGGGTATTTGAGGCAAGAGCCTGGCATGCAGAAGGGACTGCCGGGGCACAGCCTGGGCTGGAGGAGGCCTGCTGTGCATGAGGAACAGAACGAAAGGCAGCAGCGTGCTCAGAGGGAGAGCATTAGGAGACAAGGTCAGAGAAAAGATAGAGGAGGAGGGCGACCTGCCGTTCATGGCCTGTGGGCCATTGTAAGAACTTTGATTTTTCCTCCAATTGAGAGATGGAGCCGTGGGGGTGGGTGTGGAGAGGCAGAGGAGTGTCCTGATCTGACCCAGGTTTTCAAAGGAGCCCTATAGGCGCAGTACCAAGAACAGACTGCGGGGGACGAGGGTGGGGCCCGAGAATTGGTCAATATTTTAATTAACATGTTGGTCATTGGTTCCACTTTCAGTGGAATAGTGGTAGAAAAAGCCTGACTAGAGGGTGGGAATATGAGGAAAAGAAATGGAGATAGTGAATATAAGGGCAAACAATTTTTCTGTAAGTTTTGTTGAAAGTGATTAAAGAAATGGAAAGTAGCTAGATGGGGAGGGGAGGATGAGATACTGTATAAGAAATATTATAACACATTTAGATCTCTCCAAAGGGAGGGCACGGCTGTGGTCTGACTGTCATCACTGTAACATGGCCATTTACTGGGCACGGACCGTGGCAGGCACTCCGCTAAGTGAGCTGCACGCGGCAGGCGCCGGTCTGAGACAGGCCGGAGGACAGACCTCAGTTCCCGGGGTTGTTCTGCACCAGCTGTGCATCTGGTGAGCAGCCAGGGCCTGCAGAGTGAGCGGGAGGGACGAGGAAGATTCTTATAAACCCTGAGCATGGAAAGGGAGCTTCTCATGCCGGAATGGCCCTCCCTCTGTGCAGGAGTGACGTTAGCGTCCCTGCGTCTGGGTGAGGACTTGGGGAGCCCTGGGAGCCACATCTTTCTCGGGGCTTTGCTGTTGTTTCATGCTTTGTGCAGCCACTGCCATGCAGAGGCTTCAGTACTTAAGGAAATGCTAGACTCTTTACATGTGTCCACTTTCATTCCCATCACTCCCTGTTGGGATTGCTACTCACATCTATCATTTGAGTCTCAAAGGAAGCCCAAGAGGTGGGCAGGAGATTAAGACTCCCACGGGTTAAGTCAATTGTCCAAGGGCACACACAGTAAAGAGGGGCAGTGCTGGGACAGAACCAGATGCAGCTGCAAAGGGTGTGTTCCTGAAATTGCTTCCATTTGCTCCATTTCCCTTAGGAGGGCAGTCCCCTCCTCATCCGGTCACATCCCGGCCATTGTCCTGATTTCACCACCACCACTCCTCCACATTCCCACTGTTCTCCCCACCCCTCCCATCTCCCAACTTTCTCTCCTCAACTTCCGTTTCCCCATTGCTCTGGGTCACTAGCTGGAGACTTCAGTGTGGAAGAGAAACCTGCTGGGGGCCTCCCCTCCACATCTGGGCTCTCACCAGCTGGCAGAGGCTGAGCTTGGTCACCATGCAGTAGCTCTAGCCACGTGATTCTGCACAAAGGCTGCTCTCCTTTAAAAAGACCCACAAGCATTGGCAGAGTGCGGCCTTGTCACTCCCCTCTGCTCACTCATGTTGAATCTGCCCTTTTCTTTTTTTCCAAGTATAATAGAAAGAAGGGGGAAAAACACAAAAACTTGGCCTTGAACATCTTGTTCTCTTCCTTTCACCAACGCCTTCCTAAGAATCAACATCTTCTCTTAAGTGGATGAGAACTTGGCCTTTGGGGCCTGTTGGAACCAGGCATTAAGCGCAGTAAATTTGAAGGGCATTCAATTTGAAGCACTTTTCATTCTGGTAGCATCATGGATGTGAGACACAGTGACCTTACCTTGCTTTCAAACAAAAAAAACTAAACAAAAGCTTCATCATTTACCTGACTTAAAAGCATTTGCCCTTTACAAATCAGAACCGAAGTCCTTCTGCTTTGTCGCCACTCCCCAGGAGGTGGGTTGGTAGGCAGCAGGGACTTAGAACCTCAGAGCGGAACTCAAAATGCCACCTTTCC